AAACAGAGCCCACCTGCTTTCCTCGACCTTGCAGACTCGGTATGTACCATCCCCTCGCAGCGCTCGTTCCTCAACTAGACTTGATCCATACAGGCTGCGAGGCTGGGTACTAACATGCCTGATATGTCCGCTGTAAGTGCAACCGTTTTTGTAACCTAGATTTGACCTGACCGTGATCTGACAATAAAGCGCGTTGAGCTGAAGCGTTTGGAACATGAACGCCAGCGGGCAATTCAGCGGAAGGTCTTCGAGGATCAGATGCGGGCTTTGGAACACCAGCAAGCGCAGGAGCTGCTTAGTATTCCCTACGACCCCGTGGGTTTAGCTGTCTCAGCCCCAACGACGCCACCACGCGTGAGCGCAGGTTTGCATGGTGACCATCTCATGAAGTCCGCCCTTTCGCATTCTTCGGTCGACGTCGATATTCTATCGAAAGCGGTTGGCTCTGCCGTTTCCGACAAGCGCAAGTCCGTTGCATACGCTCCTTCCGTCGATCGCTCACCAGAACTTGGATCCGGCCATGGGATGAACAACCAGTACAGCCGCGCGGGTGCGAAGAGCATGCCAGCAAGTCGCCGCACCTCTACGAGCAGCCACGACGAGGAGTTGGTAGAGCATTTTAGAGGGATGGCTCTCGCTGCAGAGAGGCCCCATAGGGCTACTCCAAGCCCCGGCGTTGCGCAATCGATTATCTCCAGGGGGAGATACAGTGAGGACGACCTGGGGCGTCCAGGTCAGCAGTACAATGTTGGTATGATGCTCGATGAACAGTTGGACCAGGAGATGTACAGTGAGTCTCAGCAGTTTCACTTGTATTTACTGTCCCTCACGTGGCGAAGATGCTATGAGGCACCTTCCGACCTCCGATGATGACAAATTTGCATCTTACGCGACCAAGGTAAGATTCTCATTTCGCCTCGGCGTCCGAGTATTCATGACAAGGGCTTTAGATTTCAACGTCATCCGCAGCGTTAGACCTTGCGCATCGTTCGCAGACCTCTCCGCGAAGCTCTTTTGTAGGTCGCGGCGAGAAGCCGTCTGAATGGCCACAATTCGCTAGTAACCCTCGTGGGCCAGATGGCTTGAGCTCCCGGAATGACCGTCGCACTGTGACGAATCCGACCCTGACGTTGACGTCTTCTCCGATAGATTCAAGCGCGAAGCTTACCAGCGCGGTATCTGGCACTGCAACTCCTCTCGTTGGCCAACACTCTCAGATGAGCCTCGGTTCAGCTAATGCAGTTCCATCCTCTCGTCGAGGTTCGCCTTCTGGTGCACTAGATGGTCTTTCTTCTACAACGCGCTCTGTTCCCGCCACACCTTTATCAATTGCCAACGGTGTTAGCAACCATATGTTGCAGACTCCAGGAACACCTCTTACGCCAGACTCTCAAAGCTTGAGTGGTCGCCTGTCGTCGCAAGGCAGCCACCACTTCGAGGGGTCAAACAAAGCTGACATTCAACCATCCCTGTCACGGCTATCATCTGGTCAGTTTGATAATGCCAGCCTGTCGTTCGAGGTATGTTCCTTGGTTCTTGCTTTGTTGAAGGGTTGCTCACAGTTGAACAGCAATATGGCGCCGATTCGGTTTATGGCCTGACCGATCAATTAGACAACGATCGCTACAACGCTTATGGTTTTGACTCTAATGGACGTAATGGTACCAATGGTAATGGTACAAGCGGGTCAACTGCGCTCTACCACCACAACGGGTCTCGTTATGGTCTCGGTCGTGGTGGCGGTCCCGATAGCAAGATGAACGGCCTGCACGGTCCCAAGCACAAGCGTGGTGACATGGACCGTGAGTTCTGGTTTGGCTTGTTCAATGTGAGTCGGGATACTGACGATGGTATGTCACGCAGTCAATCGATTCGCTGGTACTCGTCTTGAGGACCTGCAAGGGGAGATACCTGCATTGTGCAAAGATCAGCATGGCTGCCGGTACCTTCAGAAGAAGCTCGAGGAGAGCGTTCCGGAACACCGCGATATGATCTTCCGTGAAACCTTCGGACATTTTGCAGACCTGATGACAGGTGCGTTGGACATCCCTATGTGACAATGATGCAATATTTAGCGTAAAACCAAGATCCATTTGGCAACTACCTATGCCAAAAGCTCTTGGAATACTCCACCGACGAGCAGCGGAACGTCATCTGCGAATCCGTCGCGCAGGATTTGGTCAATATCTCACTTAACATGCATGGCACTCGTGCTGTACAAAAAATGATCGACTTCCTATCCACTAGACGACAGGCAAGTATAATTCCAGTTTATATTTTCTCTTCCACACTTACGGGGGAATCTAGACTGATCAAAGATACAATGTTCAGATTCACTCCATTATTGTGGCGCTCAGCCTCCATGTTGTAGTTCTTATCAAGGACCTCAACGGCAACCATGTTATTCAGAAATGTCTCAATAAGCTGGCACCCGAAGACAACCAGGCATGCTGTTCTCAACTGTTTCTCACCATCTCACTCATTTCGTTTTACTCCAGTTTATCTATAATGCTGTCGCCGCTAACTGTGTCGAAGTCGCCACTCACCGCCACGGATGTTGTGTATTGCAACGTTGCATCGACCATGCCTCTGATCACCAACGTGTCCAGCTCGTGAATGAGATCACGTACAACGCCCTCACATTGGTTCAGGACCCCTACGGAAACTATGTGAGTACTCTGGCGCACCGTTATGACACTGAGTTGCTTACTGCGGACACCTTCAGGTCGTACAATACATCTTGGACTTGAACGACAATCGCTTCAGCGATGCTGTTATCCGCCAATTTGCAGGCAACGTATGCGCTCTTTCTGTTCAGAAGTTCAGTTCCAATGTCATTGAGAAGGCAAGTGTTAGGTTACTGCGGTAGCTTCCCCATGCTGACTGTTGTGTAGTGCATTCGTGTTGCCGAACATAGCACAAGGAAGATGCTAATCGAGGAGCTGCTTAATCGTTCCCGTCTTGAGAAATTGCTGCGCGACTCGTACGGCAACTACTGTGTCCAAGTTAGTCCTTGCATCCGCTCTGCCTACTTTTCTTGACCATGGCATTCAGACTGCTCTGGATTACGCTGAACCTAACCAACGTGCTCTGCTCGTCGACGGAATTCGGCCTGTACTGCCGTTGATCCGTAACACTCCTTATGGCAAACGCATTCAGAACAAGCTTCAACGCGAGCAAGTGGACAATTATAGTGGAGGATTCCACGGTCATCAGGGCATGATCAACATGAATCTCGGTAACCAGGCCTTAGGTCTTGGCCACCCCCCTGCTGCTGGGCGGCACCTCCCACAAAACATCCACCCAAGCAGTCCCATGGCGGACATCTACGGATCCCAGGCTGGCCTCTACGGAATGCAAGGGCATGGCTCTTACGGTCACTCTCATTTGGCTCCTCAACTACATGGTCTTCAAGCGCGTTCCATCGATGGATACGTTTTGCAAAACAGCTCACCTCACAACCCCAGCTTGACTCCCCCACATACCCACGCTGGCGGCTATTCTGGTGTATCTGCGTACGCTAACGTGAGCTTTGGCAACGTTGGTGTGGCTGGATCGTTGAATGATCCCTATCAGAGCTATGGATATGGGATGTAAACGCTCCAAGTCATTGTCCGCGTTGCCGCCGCCATCTCCAACCCGCTACCCGCTCCTTAATGCATGCCCTATTTCTATGTATATTCTATGTCCCTTGCGTTCGACGACCCGATACCTCTCTCCATGTTGCTTGGCTTCGATCTCGGCTTCGGGAGATTGCTTACCATTATGGGCCTCAGCCGGCTTCGATCATACCACCGCGCGCACTTGTACATTGGTCCGGCATACACAAACCCAACCCATTGCTATTAGTCTTGCTTTCTGAACATTTTCCCTTTGCCCTTCTTTATCTGCCGCATTTGTACAGCCCTAATCTTCCACTCATCTAACGCAATGTCTGTTTAATGGCTAACCTGCCGCAGCACTACCTTCTGTACTTATTGTGCAATCTACGCGTCGTTGCTTTTCGGATCCTACTCATGTGTGATGCTGCGCCTACTCGCGTTATCGAGAACAACTATGCGGTTTCTGCAGTGTCTGGCTGAGTTTCTATGTACCCCAAAGGCAGGGGTGATGATTGTGACGCAGTTTCTATGTCCCAACGTCGGTTATGACTTCGTCCTCTCCGTTCACAGAATAATCGTACACAAGTGAATTCAAAGGTATTGCAGTTGTTCAGAATACCAGTGACATACAAGACGACTTGTGGTGATGTGATATGTAAAGAGAAAAGTGATAAGCTAAGAGATGGAGATAGCACAGATGTCTTCACCGGTTCTGGCGGGAAAAGGTGAGCAAATACGAGAATGTGGATGACAGCTGGATGAAACACAGTAACGCACCTTGACGAAGCCGATGGCAGCAGACTTTTCACGGAAGCATTGACGGCAGAGGTCAAGGCCGTATTTACGGATGAGACCAGCCTGGTGGGCGCAGAGGCGGCTGTGGAAAGAAAAGCACAGGGATGGGCACACAGGGGAAACTTCGAGACGATGTCACTAGACTGACCATTGACGGCTGCCCTTGCCGAACTTTCGGGGACGAGAGAACCAAACAGCGTCGTGTGTCATTTTGTGGTTTCTTGAGGCTGTCGAAGCGGGGAAATGTGTCAGTAATCGTGTTAGGTGTTTCGACCGCGACACGTTATTACCTTGCCGACGTTGAGGCTTTCGATGAGGACGTTGACACTAGCGGGCGAGCGATGCAACAAGCATAAGATTTCCGCGTTCGGAAAAACTGTACAGTGGCTTGATTAAGGTTTCATCACACGAATGAAAAATCGGAATTTGCCGGTAGTTCTTGTTCCTTGCGGTGCTACTTCGGTGAACATCGCAATCGACGCCAAGATACATGTTCTTTTGATTTCATTCTCAAATCTGAGATACGTGCGAAACAAACGTGAGGAATCATATTAAGCAGCCCCTGTTAAGATCTTCATCGATGCAAAAAAGAAAAAACCAGATAGCCCACCGCGAGGGTCGAACTCGCAGCCTTCAGATCACCTAGCCTAAGAGTCTGACGCTCTATCCGATTGAGCTAGGCGGGCGATATAAATCTTTGGACATGAGATTACATGTCAGGAAGGCAATGGCCAAGCGCCGCTGTTTACCTGTTTTGGCTGGACTACATAAGCAGGTCCAATGAGGTCTACATGTTACCTTCTATTATAACTTCAATCTCCCCACACTGCACAGTCCTGGATCCTTCCAAAAGTCAGACAGTTTACAGTCTTTGACTCTTACATTCCCTCCTTACCTTACCTCCCTCACTTGTCGGACATGCGTCAAGCTGTTCGGATTACGACTGCCCTCACCTTGGCGGGAGTCCTTCTGTCTGGCGCACAGGCCATTCAGCAGGTCACTCGCGCGGGAAGATACTTGTACACCGCCGACGGAACTAGATTTTACATCAAAGGTGTTGCGTATCAGGAGCAGGGTGTGTATCCAGCATACCTCTCCATTGAACGTGCTCTCAATTTTTTTTTTCTCCCGACAGGTCAGGTCATTGCTGACCCGAACAACCCATTTCTCGAACCCTCCACTTACGTCGACCCTTTGGCGAATGGCACGGCTTGTCAGCGTGACTTGCCCTATCTTCAGCAGCTTGGTGTCAACACTATTCGTGCATACAGCGTGGACTCGACTCAAAACCACGATACATGCATGCAATTATTCAGCGGCGCTGGAATTTACACCGTGTAAGTACCCACTCCTGACAATCTCAGGCACCCCCCTGACCGTGCCTCCAGTATCGATCTTTCTTTACCTGTGAATGGGTCTATTGACCGCACTGCCCCCTCGTGGACGACAGCTCTTTTGGACCAATATATTGAGACTATCAATGTCTTCTCAAAATATGACAACGTTCTTGCGTACAACGTAGGCAATGAAGTCGTAACAGCGCCTAACGGAACTGCAGCCGCTACCTTTGTCAAAGCTGCCGCCCGTGATGTGAAGGCATATCTGTGAGTAGCCGCATCCTCTTCCCAGGTTTGTTACTCACATGCGCAAAAGCAATTCTATCAAATCCTCCGCCCTTGTCGGTTATGCTGCCATCGATGGTGATTCATCGTGGATTTATCCCCTGGCAGAATACCTTTCTTGTGATGTCTCGGGAACCAACTCTGGCGCCTCTGCTATTGATTTGTACGGGCTGAACAACTAGTGAGTACCGCGTGCAAACTGTCTTCAGTCCTTCTGACATAAACCATGACCATTCAGCGAATGGTGTGGTAATTCGACGTTCGAAGCTTCTTACTCTGCAACAGAGACTCTCTTCTCTTCCTTCAACGTTGCCGCCTACTTCAGCGAGTTCGGTTGCATCACATCTACCCCGCGTGTGTGGACCGAGGTTGCCGCTCTCCTGAGCTCCGACATGTCCCCTGTTTGGTCAGGTGGTATTGCTTTTTCGTACTTCCCTGCCGAGAGTGTGCAGGGTGAGTTCGGCATGGTCACGATCTCTCCTGATGGTAGCACCGTTACTGTCAGCCAAGATTTCACCAACCTCGAGACCCAGTATACCCAGGCTGCACCTCCCAATTCGCCTTCTCAAAGCGGCGCTGGATCCCCGAGCTATCCGGCCTGCCCGCAGCAGAGCACCGATATGCTTGCTTCGACTACTCTGCCATTCACTCCTAATATCGCTGCTTGCACGTGCTTGGAGAACAATTTGAGTTGCCAGTTTACTCCTACAACGTCCAACTACAGCGCGATTGTTGGGTCGCTGCTCGATTATGGCTGCAGCCTGCTCGGGCAATCTGGCGGAACTTGTGCTCCAATTTCCGCTAACGGTACCACTGGTGTGTATGGTGCCGTGTCTGAGTGTGACCCAAGTCCGTAATTTCCTACTATTTAATGATCGTTTTCACTGATGTATGGTTGTGCACAGCTGTCATGTTGTCCTGGGTGATGAGCCAGTACTACCTTGGCAACAACAACAACCCTACAGCGTGTAGCTTTGGCGGGAACGGTACTGTTAACTCCAAGGCACCCTCGAGCGCCAGTGCAGCTAACTCGGCGGCTTCGTCTTGCTTGGCGAGCGGCACTGGCACTTCTGTCCCTACGCTGCCAGCCGGCGGCTCTAGCTCTAGCGGAGGGTCTGGAGGGTCCGGCTCAGGTTCTTCCCCCTCGACATCCAACGGCGCTGTTGCTGCTAACGCCAGAACTCTCTTTGGAGTTGTTACCCTCGTGGTTTTGGGCGGCTTGTGGACTCTCGCCTGAGTGTACTAAGCGTGTTCTGTGAGGAGGGCATTGGACCATCTTAACGTGACACTTTTATATGAACTCGTTGTGGACTTGTTTTGGGTTCCTGTAGTGTAATTCATGGGTCTGTTTAAATCCGCTTAATAGACTCCTGGACAATCTAGTTTATCACTTTGTCTTCATATGTGCAGACTGAGAGTTGACATGAGATATTTTTGATCACATAAACAACCATAATGAAATAACTAGTCAAATAATAAATATTTCATTTCTGTTAGCAATAATCCACGTTGAAACAATCCACCTATGGCGGCGTCCTCGACAGTAGTGGAATCTAATATACAAACCAGAGACAAGTGGATTTCGGCTGACGACCTGGGTCTTGGTACAATGGGCCCTGTCACCGCCCACGAACCTGAAAACACGACAGGCGACACCCACCTAGACAACACTGGTACATCTGGACAGGCTCCGGAAGTCATGAAGGCTGACGAAGATACTTCTGGCAACAAAGCAGACTCTGGTCGAGAAAAACAACTCAAGGTGCTTAGGTCTTATCCTCTTGTTTGTGCTGTTTAGTTTCTTGCCTGCCGCCCGCCGTATTATCCCGTGCCCTGTCCCTCGTCTTGTTTGCGTCTTGTCCACACATTTTTCTTTGCGCGGCCACCCCCTGCCCTATGTCGTGTTGTTAGCTTTGCTTGGAAACTGGTACTTGGTCCTGCTGCTGCCCCGATTTCCGAGATGTGAGGACGCGACGACTGGTTCCTCGTCTTTCTCCAACGTGGCGCTCGTCTGCTTGCTCGTCTGGTCTCAGTACCCTTGGGCAGTCATGTGTAGAGGCACTTTGTTTCCCTGGACTGGTCCTGGCTTTGTTCTTGCCGTCGCTTCACTGCTCGCCTCGTATTAAACTCTTTGCGCCGCCCAGCCGTCCAAGGTCTATGTCGGTGGCCTCCCTGATCATACCCGCCAGGAGGACCTACGGAACTGTTTCGGAAAAATTGGGAACATCGCTAATATCGAACTCAAGTGAGTTAGCAGCAGCCGCAGAAGGTCTTTCGCTAACTGTCGTGTCTTTTTTTCCTTGCAGAGTCGGATATGGGTTCGTGGTAAGGCAATACTCATTTGTCCTTGTAATTGGTATTGACTCGTCATTTACTATTGGTAGGAATTCGAGAGCAAGGAGGCTGCTGAGGAAAGTGTCGCGAAGTACCATGAAGGATTTTTTATGGGAAATAAAATTCGTGTCGAGCTTTCTCACAACCGTGGACGTACTGCTAAACGGTCTGAGGATCCCGGTGCATGCTTCAAATGTGGTGAAAGTGGACACTGGGCACGGTAGGTTTGCTTTAATTTTTAGTTGACACAATATTAAGGTAAACATATAACAGGGAATGCCCTCGCCAAACGACTCAGTCGTAAGTGATTTATTTCTCCAGCTTGTCGTAGGTGAGATCTCAACACATGTCGTTAGTCGTGTTGGTCCAATGCATGATCCGACTTTATTCGACCGCATACACCCCCTTCGTGACCATCCTCCTTTTCCGCCTAGGGACTTCCCTCCATATCGAGACGAACTTACCAGGTACCAACCACCAAGGGATGCTCGCTTTTATGACTATCTTCCCATGCCACCTCCGGGACGGGATTACAGGCTACCTATGACCCCTCCGCGTGACTCTCGTGACGTCCCTCCAATGGGCTTTCCCCTTCCGCGCCGTGACTATGACGACTATCGCATGCGGGGCCCCCCTCCTCTCCCCCCTCTTCCCCCTCCATCCCGCCATGGCCGGCCTGGACTGTATGGACCTGAGAGAGATTACCCTCCGAAGGGTTATATACCACCTTCACCGCCGCCATCTCGTGATTTCTATGAGCGGTATGATAGGCGGCCTCCGATGGACGATAGACTTCTGCCTCCACTGCATGGCGGGAGGCCACGGACTCCTCCTGGTCCTCCGCCAGAGGGACGTGGACGACCAACAACCCCACTTCGTGAATATCCTCATTATAGCAGCGGTATGGATCGCCCTCGATATCGGTAGGCTTGATCTTTTCGCATGAAATATTGTGAACTTAGAAACCATGTTCCCTTAGGCGTCGCTCACTGAGCCCGCCTCCGCGGCATGACTGGAGATACGGTGGCCCAGGCCACCACTACAATGACTTTGATGGCGATAGGTACGCTGCCCCGCCGCGGGATGGGGGACGACCTCCCAGAGACTACCATCCTCGTAACGGCCGGGACGACGGCCCCGGTTACAGGCGGCCTTGATCTTTGCCATGAGGAAAACTTATGTCCGTACAGGCTGGTTCAGTGATCTTTCCCTTCCCTCTTCTTGCTTGTCGTGTTGCTTGCTGCTTTGTCCAATATCTCTTTCGTGATCTATGCTGTTTTATATTTATAAGCGTGGCAATAGTTCTCTGTCACTGTCCTATGCCGAAGCTTCTACCAAAGCCAGTAATACTTCTTTGACCGTGTTCGCTTCCACTACGGCCAGGAAGACGCCCCCACTTCTCTGCAGGAGCTTATGAGGTTCGACCTATCGGACAATACTAGTACATCCCTGTCACCTTCTTGTCCTCCGAGACTTGCAATGTGCCCCGCATCCAGAACCATCTGTCATACTTGTCAGTACACGGGACCATAATCGCTTCCAGTAACTCACAATTCGATGGGCGTCCATGATTAAGTATAACCCTCCGGACACCAACGTAAACGACGAAGGCGTGCAAATTTTTCAGGGAAGCGGCTCCTCGGTGTTCGTTCCGCCGCTATGATAACCGACAGTAACCCACCACGGCTTCTCAACGTTCAACAACGACCAGAGTAATCAGCCAGCTTGAA